ACCCTCTGCCCTGGACACCGGCCGCCCTCCCCCTGCTCCCTGCCCTGGAGATTGTGCTGGCCACCTGGCCCTCACCTCGGGCCTGCGCACCCCCCGGCCTGCTAATCACGTGGAAATTGACCCCCCGGGGAATCAGGGGTGCTTGATTGAAGCCACTTCTCTGTGTGACTACCTCAGCGCTGGTGGAATCTTGATGGCGACGTCCACGCTCCCTCCCAACCATCTCTGTCCTCACCACGGTGCCCACCGCAGGCGGGGGCGGCATTTACCACATGACTGGAGGAATGTTCTGGAAATGAGAGCTGTGAGGAACAGCTTGCGGTCGCTGCCAGGAGGTGGTGGCTGGGCCTGCCCGGAGCGCTCCGGGGCTCTGGGGTCCGCGGGACTCGCCCGTCTCCAGCCCCCCCAAGCACGCGGCTTCCAGGAGCAGGACCCGCGGCCGGGACTGGCCCACGGTGGGGTCTGGGGTCTGGGGTCCCGCTCGTGGGCACGGCCCCCCTCCACCCACCAGCTGCCCCCGGGCTTCCAGACACCCAGCCCTCCAGCGGCCAGCGGCCGCTCCAGGGCTGGCCCCGTCTTCCGCCCAGGGCCTTGCTTTATTTATCGACCACTGTTTGTCTTCTGTTTTGTATCTTTTGTAAACTGTGAGATTCAATTATGAAATACTGTACAAATAAATTATGCATTTTTCCAAACAAGGGCAGCGTCTCTGGAGAGTGGCCGGCGACCGTGGGCGGCAGGTCAGGGGACATGGCCCGCGGCCCTCTGGGTGCGCCCACTCAGCCCCTGCGGCCCCTCCCGGCCAGACGTCATTTGCACCCTGCTTCCAGACTCACCCTAGCCCGGCTCCCCCGGGCGCTGCCCCGGGCACCCCCAGCCTGCAGACCCCAGCCCACACCTCCGCCCTTTTACTCCCTCGAGCCACCTTCCCGACAGCCTCCGGGAGCTGCACCCCAGAGCCTCAGGCACCCCGAGAGGGCCGCAGGCGGAGCCGGGGCTCAGGCCCACTCCAGCCCTTCGTCCTTTCCTTCTCCCCGGACAGTGGCGTGGCCTGGCCAGGGAAGGGTGTGTCTCCGTTCCCCCAGGTGTGTTAGAGTCCCGGGGGAAGATGTGACCGGAGGAAGGAGGTTTGGGGCGCACACAGCTGCATCTGCGCCGTCTCCACGCCTGGCGCTTGTGGCCCCTGAAGCGGTCCAGGGGCCGTCCTGGGCGCTGGGCGGGGCGCAGCATCATGCGGGCCACGGCCGCGGCAGCACGCGCGTGGGGGGGAGGGGCTTCTGCGGGGCCCCAACCTGCCGGGGCTGCCAGGCCTGTCCCCAGTAAAAAGAGGTGCCAGCGCGACGTCTGCAAGGAAGGCGTTTATTGCACCCATGGAGCCTGGCTTCTAGAACATTCACCGCGGGACCCGGGCACCTCGCAGAGGCACAGCGGACGCCGGGCGCCCTCGCGGAGGCTCCGCGGCGGGGGGTG